CCCCCCCCCCCCCCCCCCCGGAGGGAGGAGAACTTCGAAAAATTACCACGAATCGTCGAAAAGTTACCACGAGGTTAGATGGATTGCAAACATGCCTCGCTCTCGTTACCCGTTCCGTATCTGCTCGTCAGAAGCCGGCCCACGCTCGCCCAGCCGTGCTACAGGAACACACGTACGGTACAGATGCGGCCCGGAGATAAGAAACGTCAAAATCGGGTCGAACCTTAATTTCTTGTGGTGGGCAGAGGGACCAGCCGAAGTCGGCCAATTTCTTAAAACGGATTTGTTATTCCTTTGGGCTGTCGCATCCGGCTGATTTTCTTATGTTATTATTTCTGATGGCGAAGAAAAGACACAACACACAACACACCATGCCTTCATGCAGCACTAAATCGACAGCTTGGTGTGGCGAACATTGGCGGTTGTGGCAGTAGTTCAGAAGCAGTGGGTAGCGCAGCCCGTGGCGGCGCTGGGGCGCCGGGGGCGCCGCGAAAGTGTCCCCTCTCTGCCCCTACCAAAAAATGACTAACATGCGCTAGGCAGGGTGTGGGAGCATGGCAGCAGCAGCAGCAGTGGGACGTTTCTTAGGACGCGCTCCCCCAGCTTCTACCCCTTGCTTCTTTTGTCTTGGGGTATCGCACGATCACGTTTCTTATTGGGACGTTTCTCATGTTGTAGCCGAGATTGAGCTAGCTGTGTTTCTTAGGCCATTTTTCATATTTTTCTTTAAAAATTTTAGCTTTTCTTCTTAACTGAATTTTTCTTAACTGCGGGCCTCATCTGTAGTCGAATACAGCGTACCTCGCTTCCACAACCGGGCCCCAACAGGGTTGAATCACATCATTATCGCATGTATGCCGCGATACACCAAGCACGCACGACCTTGATGACGACGGCCTTCAAAATATACGACGCTCATTATTATTGTCGCGCTGAAATCACATTTTTTTCTCTTGCTCTTCGAAGGACAGCAGGGTTTCTTCTTTCGTTCGAGCGACTTCAAAACACCTCGGATTGGGTCCGTACTGAACGCCGAGGCATGAATGGTATCTCTCGCTCTCGGTCGGCATGAATGGCATCTCTCGCTCTCGATCAAGGAACACAATCAATTTCAAAATCTCTTCCGACCAATCAACGTTGGGGGGGATGATTCCGCATTAACCGTGACCTTTCGGACACGACTCCTGTAGCAGTGCTCTCTTGGCGGGAAGTTTACACCGTGTTCAGAGAGGGAATAGATTCAGATACACACCTCGTGCGCACAGCCAAGAGCCACACGCAATATCTCGGTAGCAACAAGACGTGAGCAGCACCGTTCACTGTAGGATTCTGCGTGCGATCGTTGCGTAACACCCGTAGCCGATGCCAATGCGGTATCAAGCCCGATCAAGAATCTCCTCTATACTTCCATCCGCTAGACGCCCGGGACGATTACATCACGCTCACGTGTTGGATCGAACGCGTCTTTTGGCGCAGTTTCCCGTGTTAACTCGCTGCTGACGAATCTCTATGCGTTCGTTTCAGTCCCGAGCAACGCAACATCGCTCCTCTCCTCACCGCTGGCTGAATAACGCCGTAGCAGGCTACTGACGGAGGCCCGCTTCGTCCATTCTGGACGGCTCTGTTGCCCTACCCCTCCTACCCCCCTCTACCACCAACACCCCCTTTACCCGATCGAATATTTCATGGCCCTGCCGCCCTCGGCGGGTGGTGTTGAGTACTGGGTACTTCTGTGTTATCCCAGGAACGCGCGTAGCCATTTTATGTATAATACACAGAACAAGGATGCTCACCCCACAGGCAAGTGCCAGGAGCACACCAGCGTGTGCTCTCCCGGGCGAGGCCGCACTTGGACCCCACAACCGCGTACAACGCACCACATCCGTACTTCCCATCGCGTATCCCCCACTGAGGACGCACAGATCGGACCACTGATATCAAGTACCACGAACAGGCTATGCTTCTTCCGCAGGACAATCAAAACCCTCGCCGGGTGCTCTATTGCTGGAAGTACATGCTGATGCTACTCAACATTAGATGTCGCCGACTAGTTCCTTGTACTCGGCGGTGGTCTTGAACTTGTCGAGCAGATTTTCCGCCAACATCTTCGAGATCTCCTTCTCCGCCGGTAAGAAAACGTCTGCACGGCCCTCCTGCAAATGTCAGGCGAAAGCCGGTGGGTGCTACTTTTTCGATTCTCCTGCCAACGAAGTATAGCCTGTTTGTGACGCGTGTGGATATGAGTACCATCTGTGCGTCCTCTGGAGGGGATACGCGTATGGGAAGCGGTTGCGTTACATAGGTATGTACGCGGTTGGGGTCCAAATGCGCCCCCCCCCCCGGGAGAGCACATGGAGCACACGCCGGTGTGCTCCCCGCATTTGCCTGTGCGCGAACAGCAACACGGCAGAGTCACACTCTCCGTCGCACGGAGTACGGCTTCTGTTTGGCAGAGAGTACGATCACGGTAGCGCTTCGTAGGTTGGGCTACGAGAAGTCAAGGCAGGGTTGTTCAATCTCGTTCCCGTTCTTCCCCCGATGCCGTGTTGGGTCTACTAGGGATGCAAGAACCCGCGGAAGTACAGGAGTTGAGCATAGCCTGCACCAGAATCATGGACATTGCTGCTGCTCCATCCAGTTGTTGTTGTTAAAATAGCTGATGTTATTGCTTCTGGTTGTGGGGATAGCGGAGTGCTTCCGTTGGAAGTCGTTCGCGGTGTTTGAGCAGATACCTCACAAGAGGTCATTTTCCTGGATCGAGAGCGTAACAGATGAGGCACCTACTAATACCTCTACCGGAT